TAATTTTTTGTCTTTATTCTTTGCCTTTAACAGAAAAGATCATACATTGCTTTGAATCACTCTGAAGACTGATCTGGAATTATGCCTCTCCTTGGACAGGTCAGCAGTCCTTCCAACTATTCTTGTGAATTACATTCTCATTTGGCATGTTCCCATATAAAATTTTAATGCACGAAGACCTGAAACAAGACTTCACAAGTTGTCAACCTGGCGCATTTTCCAGGCGGTACTTTTTTGCCTGAAGAAATAATAGTTGGAGCGTTTTCACGTTGCTGTGATGATTGCTATCATTTACAGAATCACGGTTCAGCTGCGGTGGGCACCTGGTGCGGGGAGCGGGTGGGGCGCAGGGCATGGCGCGCACCCCCGACCGCCGCCGCTAGAGGGCGCCGGCCCCACCCCGACGGAAGCGCGGCGGGCGCTCGCAAGGCCCGGAACGCTGATGGGACGTTGGGAGGAGGAATGTATTTTTGTAAAAATTGTTACTTGACGCATACTTTGCTGATTTTTGTGTCTCAAAAAAAAAAAAAACGGATCCAGGTTGGGCGCGGTGGCTGCCGCCTGTGATCCCAGCACCCCGGGAGGCCGAGGCGGGAGGAGGTATGATGCAGGTAGGGTGCTCACAGACAGGACCCGAGACGGGCCCTGAAGAAGGAGGACGGGCTGCAGGGCGGGCGGAGACCTAGGTGCATCCCAGGTGAGAGTCAGTGAACTGAGTGACTTAAAGCTGCTGAGATGACCTCCAGGGTTTTCCAATCTCCCTATTTTCCCTACTTCCCCAGGCATCCCCGCAGGTAACCGCATCACCCAGGGGCTTCACATGGAACGATTTTTCCTTTTTCATGGGAAACAGGTGGCATTGATACTGTTTTTCTTAAGTGCACCAAGATCTGTATGGCCTTTTGCAGAAGTTACATGTGGCAGAAGGAAGAGCATAAAAATTCTGTACATTTCCTGTTGAAAGTCTTTTTTTTTTTTTTTTTTTTTGAGGCAGGGTCTTGCTCTGTCGCCTGGACGAGAGTGCAGTGGTATCAGCATAGCTCACTGCAACCTCCAGCTCCTGCACCCAAGGGATCCTCCCACGTCAGCCTCTCAAAGTGATAGGGTTACAGGCGTGAGCCACCCAGGCTTAGTAATAGTATTTCAATAGAGCTTACTGAATATCTGATGTAATAGCTGGGAAGCTAAAGATGATTTGGAAAGCCTTGTCTTTGCCAACAAAAATTTAGTAAGGTTATTTTAGCTAGCATCTTTTTCTGAATCTAAGTGATTTCAAACATCAGTCATCTGTGACAGAAAAATACATTCCCAGTCTAAAAGTTCTTTGTGGCATGCCACTCTGGACTGTTGTCTATAGTTCATCTAGCTCAAGGCAAAGCTAAAAAAAACAAAATAAAATCCTGTCCTTTCAAAGGGAATGGAAAAGGCAAAGACTTACATTGGCCTACACAAGAGCAGCCTCAAATGTAGAATTCATGCCTGAATTTGACAAGTTTCCATGAGAAGGATGAATTGCTTAGAGTGACTCTAAATTGTTTTATTTTCTAAAACCTAATAATGGTGAATGGTGTTCAATGGCTGCCAGGTCTGCTTTTTCTTTTTCTTTCCTTTTTTGGCATTTTATTGTTAAATTAGGAGGCTGACCATGAAGAAATATGAAAAAAATTAAATAGGTTATATTCCCTTCTCCCATTCTGAAACATAGCATATTTCTAATAATCAAATAAGTGACTTTTAAAGCAGATCACATCACTCCTCAAAATCATATGCTTTTTTCCTTCCACTTACCTGGCATGCATACGTAACCCCTCAATCTTTTAAATTTCAATGTGAAAAATTCCCAGCCTACTGCTGCTCATTTGGATTTCCATTCACTACTAGTTTTATGCTGGAGAACCCAGTCATCAGTAAGACTTAGGAATGGTCTAGTGAGCAAGATAGACAAGCTAGCAAGCAATTTCAGGAGACCTTCGTAAACGCCTTGGTGAGATGTCTCAGGGTTCTACAGAATCTACAAGAAGTGGCATTAAACCAAGCAGCACCCGGGAAGGCTACACTAAGAGAATCTCTCAACTAGATGGTAAAATAGTGAAGGCAGGGACTTGTCTATCAGGACAATCTGGGCAATTAGCACAGTGCCTGCCCAAACCCTAGGGTGCATCACGTGCAGAAGATGGGATGACAGCTGGAGAGGAAGGCATGTTTGGGAGCAAGTTAACTCGGTTATGACCAGACCTTGCATGAGTGTGTGTTTGGGAGGGTAGGACGGCATTTGAGGAATGAGGCTGGATTACACGGGAAAATGAATTCAGTTCTGAGTTTGAGGTGCTTGTGGACACCCACATGACGCTGAACAGGGAGTGGCGGGAGCTCGGGAGGGAGTCTCCAGCTACAGGTGGCAGCTGAAAGCAGCAGAGAGGGAGAAACCACCGAGGAAGAATGGACAGAAATTTCTAGATAAAACAGGAGTTTTGGCCAGTCTAAGGGAAGTTCTGGCAGAGGTCCCACTCCCTGGCCTGAGCCTCTGGCTCTAGGCCAAGTTCATTCCAGCTCTCCAGAGTCCACCTGCTCTCATGCTCTCTGCTTTCTAGCACCCTCTGGTCCTGCCCACCTGGGCCGGTCTGTGGCAGGAGCTTAGGTCACAACACACCCTTCCAAAGCACTGACTTTACTTCCACTAACTGGGAGGTGGCTAAGAGGTTTTATTAGCACAAAATTACAAAGAACAAAAAATTTCCATATTTTAAAGATACCGCAAGATCTCAATGCTATTTTGTGTTTTCAACTCCTCCTCAGGCTGTTTTCTTGCAAGAAACAAGCATCCACTCCGTGCACCACTTGAACTAAATAGTAGCCATTTTGTTTGCCCATTGTCTCGTATCTTGGGTGAAAAGTGCCATTATTGAAAAAAAAAGCAAAAACCCCTCCTAATTCCATTAATCCCAGCTGTCAAACAGGTAGTCAAGCACAGTGCAAGTTACCCTTCCTAATTCAAATCTTGAATCTTCCATTTACCACACTTTGGAGAAGTTTCTTAATATGTAAAAGGGTAACTACTACCACTTATGGTTGTGAGGAGTTGATTATTATGTGAATCTGGAGCTATCCAGTGCCCAGAGCTCTTCCTCAAGTGTGTGAAAAAGGAACCATCCCAGTGAGCAGAGACGGTGGCAGCTGTCCTTGTTTGGAGATCCTAGCTCTTAACGCTGAAAGGTGGGACCTGCTCTTCCTGAGGAGCTAACAAAGTGCCATTATTTCTTAAACAAATTGGATTTGGGTTTCTGTACTTACTGGTGGCTTCCTATTCAATCCAGGGAACTTTATTGGAAACTTCCTATTCAATCCAGGGAACTTTACTGGAGACTCAGCAGGACCCTTTGGGAATGAATTCTGGTGTGACATGGGAACACCACCCTTCTCCAGTGGGGCTCCAGATTACCCACAGCCTCTGGTCCCCACTTCCCTCCCACACCTTCACCCCGCAAACTCCTGCTCCCTTGTCACTGTCGAGTCTTTGACTCTTTTCTCAGTATTAATGGAAATTCAGCAAGGTTCAGTGCCTCCACAATGCCTCCTGGACTGTCTTCAAAATATAGTTGCAGCTTTTAAAGAGTAAAATGTATAAAAACATTATGTTTTAGAAATCCTGTATCTAAAAGGGGAAATAAATCCATTTGGTTCAACCAATGACCCAAATATGGAATAAAAATTCACAATTAAATCTTAGGGAACATAATTTCTGCTTAATTAACCTGTCTAGTTTGATGGGCTATTTTCTGAAAAATTTTAAAATACATTTAAATGAACTAGCCTATCTTGAACAGAAAGTCTGATATTGATGGTCTTTATGCTTTAGATCATTATCAATAACACAGCATACTTAGCATTCTCAAATATGACCATCTGCTACCATTAAGCCACTTTTTAACTCAGTACTAAAGCACATAATCTGTGACCTTAACATGGGCAATACTCTCTAATAAGGATTTCATGAAGTCATAGGCAAATGTGCATTCCCCTGGGGAAGAAGCTGCAGAGCTCGGTGATTTCAAAAAAAGTTTGGTGCCACTGCTTTAGAGCCATCCAATTCAGCAGAGTTCACTTCTGCAAACAGACACCAAGCCAAAATTTTCTCCAAGCCCTTTAATATCCACTTAAACAGTTGAGGCACAAGCAATAATAAAACTGCATTTTTTACGTTACAAGAAAGATTTTGTACTATATCTGCATGATATTAATTTGCTCATAATCTCTTCTGCATTAACATTTCATTAACACTCTAGTCCACAGGTTGACTCAACAAGGTTGGAAAGGCAGGCAGGAAGATGGTAAAATATCGAACTTACTGAAGGGTAAGAAGAATCAAACATGTACTGACTGCCCACTACGCGCACTATACTAGATTTTACACACTTTACATAAATTAAATGTGAACATAAGTTCTAGTTATCTTTTAACAGCATTGCTATGGCCAGTTAAGTCTATGTTTTAAATGCCTTTTCACTTTAAGTACAAATTGTGGAAACAATAGATCACTGCCCAAAGAAGCATGTCAATGTGCACTAATACATATTTTCCATTTCCAAAGTTTTTGGTTTTTATAAGTGTGCAACATTAGCTCATGGGAACACTCAGCTATTACTCCACTTAAATACAGAGTTTTTTCATTCTCATCTACTGAGCACCATATGGCCAGCATCACCAAAATTACCTGGTTCTACCATCTTGTAATACTTAAGATGGCAACAGACAGTGTTCAGTAATTACATTCCTTGGGGAAAGAATCAGCTGATTTTTTTTTTTTTTAACACAGCTA